CGGGCACGAGCGTGAGCAGCCTTTGCCTTACGCTTTTGTATACGTTCTTTGAGCGTCGAACGGGCTCTTTTGACAAGAGTCCATTCCTCCGTCGTGAGTTGTGCAGAAATATGATTATTTTGCCGTTGAGGCAACTGAACCACTTCATGTTTTCTCGACTCTAGGTCCGCATAGTAATGGACCCCGTCGGTTTGTTGCATGACCTTAGTCAATTGACGAGCACGACGCTGACGCTGTCTCTGACGAGCCCTATTCGTCAGCACCGGCGAGCTATGATTCAATGACTCCTTAATTGGTACGGAGTCGCTTGGAGCAGAAACGTCGCAGGCAGATTCCTTAGCAACGATCGGGCAAGAATCTTCGCCTGTGGCCTTCGTTGGAATTGCAGACTTGAAAGTTTTCTTAGAAGACAAAATCTTCCTATATTTACGAGACGAGGAAGATTTCGCAGATGAGGATGACAAATACTCCTCAAACTTCGCCTGACCGAATTCGTATTCGATCTCTTCATTGACAACGATCTTGATCGGTTGCGACACCGCAGCCTCGGCAGCGAGGCCGCTGGCTCCCACTGTGGTCGTCAGTTTGTTTTCGTCAAAAATTGGTTTTGTTGAGGAATTCATTATATCTTCAGTCGATTACAACAAATTCAAAGAAATAGTCTTTTTATAAGACTTTTTTCTACACAACAAAGCAAAAATTACAACTTTTGAAAAAATAACACAAAAATCGTCTATCGATTCTTGTTTTTTTGTGGGACTTTGCCTGTGCCGGGAACGCTTTGGTTCATGGACCGCCGAATCACAGATCGTGAAGGGGGCTTTATGATTCTTCCTTCGTTTATCGAAGTGAGAATTTAAAACGATATCTTATCAAAGTAAGATAGTCGTTCTTCTTGAAATCAAGTCAAAGCTCGAATCTCAAGGGAATCCAAGAATAACAGCGTCTGCTCTCTCTGCTCTGAATTGCTCGAAAATATGCTCGATCCCTGTCAGAAGTGACCCTAGGGGGGTATTTATAGCCTCAGGGGTCTATAACTGCAAAACTCAACAAAAACGGCGAAATTAGGCCGCGAGACAGTAAATACTATCTCGGAAATAGTAACTATCTGGTAGTTTTCGTTTTAACTGCCTTCCCACGTTTTAAACTCCGTTATTTTGGCATTTATTCACGTGATTTTCGCCCACGATGTTTCCCACGTCCCTTGGCAGTTAATGGACACGTGTAGGACAGTTATCAAGGTAGTTTTTGACCATTTCAACACTGTCTCGCTGGCGAGACAGTAAACACTGTCTCGCTGGCGAGACAATGAAGTCTGTCTCGCTGGCGAGATAGCAAAGTCTGTCTCGCTGGCGAGACAGTTCATATCTGTTTTGATTTTCCAAAAACAGTATGAGATCAATTCTTGTGATTTTTTGAGTGATCTTCTCTATGTTTGGGATACCTATTTGCATTTTTTGACACCTACATTCACCATGGTATTCAACAATTCATTACCGAAAGACATACAGTGAGAGTTTTCATCCACCCGATGATAGTCGGTATTGGCCCGAATATACTGGACCACGACTAATTCTACCTCAATACAAGAGACAAGTAGGTCGACCACGATCTGTACGAATTAGGGGAACCATGGATCAAAGACGAGAAGGAATTGTCAAGCATAAAAAATATAGTCTTTGCAAACAACCGGGACATACTCGACCTCGTTGTCCAGCTAGACTCAATAGATAGCAATTAATTGGTAATAATTGACATATTCAAATTGTGATTTATTTTAATGTAGACAATATAATTAGTCGTGGATCGGTTATTGATATGTTATAATTGTATGTGCAGGTATATACACCATGGAGCCTGGACCGACGAGTGATGAGGTCCTATATGACCAGCCTCGACACCGTTCACATGTTATATCCTTTACAGAGGTAACTAAGTTTCTTATAATTTTAATATTGCATTCTTATAATATTGTATTCTTATATATTCATTTGCTTTACAGAGAGGCCCAGATATTGTTATGGTTGATCATAGCCTCAGCCATAGCCGTTGGCATCTAGAGGATGAGCGCATAATAGCAGCTGTAGGACGGGATGGCTTCTTGACATGTTCAAAGCTTCGTTGGATGAGGCTCGATTGGCCCCTACTCACCGCTTTGATAGATGTTCAAAGCTTCGTTGGATGAGGCTCGATTGGCCCCTACTCACCGCTTTGATAGATAGGTGGAGGCCGAAGACCAACACTTTCCACTTTCGAATGGGAGAGTCTACTATTACGCTACAGGATGTAGCTATGATACTTGGTCTCCGCATAGATGGTCTGTGCGTTACCGGCAGTGATAGATTTTTTTGGCCGGACAGGTGTGAGGAGTTGTTAGGTGTAGCTCCAGAGTCAATGTCTGGAGGAAATAATAAATTGAAGTGGCTAAAAGAGACCTTCTCGGTGCCGTTGCCTTTTGATGCGCCGCTAATATTGATTGAGCAACATGCACGTGCATACATTATGCACATGATCGGTTCAATATTATTTCCAGATTCGAGTAAAGATAAAGTGCATGCCAGGTATCATTTTTATCAGTATTTACAATTATGTCTGTTGATTTAGCTTATTTTGATAACAGAGTCAATGTTGTGAAAATGCTAGGTGGTTACCACTTATCGGGGACTTGGACACATGTGGTGCGTTATCGTGGGGTAGTGCGGTTTTGGCGTACCTATATAGAGAGATGTCTAAGGTTGCATTCATGAAAAATAGTGACCTCAAAGGGTGTCTCAGCTTACTGCAAGTATGGGCATGGGAGAGGCTGCATTTGAAGCCGAGACTATGCGTGAATTTACAATTAGACGGACAAATTCCACTAGATTGCAAGTATTATATTTTTTAACGTAGTAAATATAATTGTAGTTATTCATTTGGTACTGAATTTTGAAACTAACACAGATAGAATGTCCAAAAATGTTTTGACGAGACCCCGGCTAGACAGTTAGATTTCTACCGAAATGAGCTTGACCGCATGAAGATTTTTCAGGTATCATTTCTATAAAAACGAGTTTTTTCTTCTATATATCATCATTTCTATAAAAATGAGTTTTTTCTTCTATATATCAACTTTTGTTTTAATGATATGCAACAATTATATGTAATACTCTGTAGATGGAATGGGAGTCCTACACCCCATTTCTCGATCATCTACCCCCGATATGCACAGACTACCCAGTTATATGGAGAGCCAGAGTTCCTCTAATATGTTTCGAGATAGTAGAAATGCATGTACCGGACCACGTGTTTCGACAATTTGGTATTGCACAACATGTTCCGCAATTTGTTGAAAAATAAAGAGGAAGACGAAGAAAGGAGGCCAACAAAAGGACTGGGCAGCTGAGCATCAAAATTATATACACAGATGGAATGATAGACATTTTTGTATTGTTGAGCAAATCGAGCCAACTCCCCAGGAATCAGATTACTACACTTGGTATTGGAGGATAACTAGAAGATGGATACTCCATGCGACCACATCCCCGGTTGAGTTGCAAAGAGGATATGTGCCTCGGGGTATAGATGAGAGAGAATTAGTAAGTATTTTCAAATTTATTTTAACTTCATTTTTATTAGAATTTTTCAATATTGCTAAATTATGTTTTTTTAAAAATTTGCAGGTATCAGCAATAGATGATGTTCAAACCATTGCAAATCGTGGCTTGGAATTGGCTCGAGCAGGTAATATAGAATTAAAAATAAAATTTACATATTGTAATTTGAATTTTAAAGTAATTTTTGCATTTCGGATTTTTTTGAATTCTCTCTCGCAGGTACATGTCTCGAAGCACAGAAACATGCATCAATATATCAGTCGATAATACAGAGGCTTCACCAAGCCTTACATCGAACTCATGAAGACCTTCATGATGGACGAGAGGTAGCGCAATTAGTATACACACGTCAACAACGACACAGACGAGGACGACGCAGAAACGACAATGAAGCTGGACCTTCCCAACGTGTTGATGATGGAGTTGGACCGTCACAACCACAAACGCGACCGGATCATGAACTCATCGAAGGTCGGGATGGAGGACGCCGAAGACAAAGGAGGAGGAGAAGAGTTCTTGGATGTATGTAAGCTAATCGGTATTGTTATATAAATTACAATCCTATTTTGATATGTACATTACAAACGTATTTCGGGACAATAGATGGTTTTTGGATTTGTAGCTGAGACTGTGGTGTGACTTATTAGATTTGTAAGTGGGTTTGTGACGTGATTTGTTCGATTTGGATTCGTAAGTTTGTGGTGTATTTTATGATTTTTAGATTTGATATATGTTTATACAGGGAATTGACATATGAGTTTGTACAGGGAATTGATATATGTGTTTTATGCAATGGTGTAATTTATGATTGTTGCATTTGAAATATGAGTTTGTACAGGGAATTTTCTCGTAGCAGAAAATGCACAGTTGTGAATGTGCAGGAAATGCACGGGACTGCTAGTCCCGTACATTTCATTGCGCCCAGGAAGTGCACGGGACTAGCAGTCTCGTGCTCTTCTTTTTTGCAGAGCTATAACTCTCTGCAAAATGCACGGGACTGTTAGTCCCGTGCACTTCATTGTGGCCACGAAGTGCACGGGACTAGCAGTCTCGTGCACTTTATTTTTGTAGAGATGTTAGTCTCTGTAAAAAACACGGGACTGCTAGTCCCGTGTTATTCGAAACTGCCTCGAAATACACGGGACTAGCAGTCCCGTGTATGTCGTAAAATTTCTTCGGCAGCAAAACCGACTTTTTTGGGTCGGTTTTGCTGAATAAATTTCTAAGAGGTCGATTTTGCTATTTAAATTACGAAAATGGTTGATTTTGAAAATTTGTCCAAAAATCTATTGCATTTCCTCCTCCAAAAGATCTCATCTCGTGAAAGGTCATGGATCCAGGGTAGTTTCGTCATTTAATAATCTATCACAACTCCGCTAATAAAGGCAACATTAATACCAAAGCCGCACCTCGGCAGATCGAAACCTGCATGTTGACGAATCTGCCCTCGTCTCTCTCCTCTAATTCTTCGCCCTTGCCCTAAAATTTCAAATTACCTCCACGCTCTCCTCGCTCGCTCTCTCTCTCTCTCTCAGCTCGTGCCTCTCACAGGGAGAAAAGGAGGCTTATTTCTCTCACACAGCTCATCTCTTTGTCTCTCCTCTGAATTGAGAGGAGTCATTGGCGGCCATGGATTTGGATCTGTGGATTTCGAAGGTGAAGGAGGGGCAGCATCTAATGGAGGACGAGCTCCAACTTCTATGCGAATACGTAATCTCCTCAACTTTTTAACTTTATTCTGTGATTGTACTTGTTTGCTAGTTTAGGATTGGGAATAAATTAGGGCTAGGTTTTGTGAAATCGCGTGTTCTTGTGCCCTAGGATTTGTTTTTGTGTAGTTGTTTTTTTTTTTTTTTGATCTTTTCATGCTAATTTCGTGAATCTGGATCTGTTATAGTCCCGTTTGTAATATTTGGGGTAATAATGTAAGCACTGGTTGGTCACTTGTGTCCTTAAATTTGTAATAGAAAGTTATGGGTGACTAATTAAACAAATAATTATAGAAAAATGTGTTGTAAGTATGCAAAGTTTCTGTAATATGTGAGAAGTATATGAGCCATGACCAGATTAGGCATGCTTTCTGCCGATCCCTACCTATTTGCTTGTTGAAATGCCTACAGAAACTCCTTGTTTTGATCGGAGTTTAAAGTGTTTCTGTGATGAGCATATATAGAATGAGCATTCCTTCGGCTTTTGTCGCTACACATGGTGCCATTCTTTTGTCGAATTATTTTTTCAATGTAGGTTTTATTATCACTTCCCTGGTGGATTTTGGTGTTTAAATGTCTTTATCGAGTCAATATATGAAGTCTACTTTTTTGGAAAATCTTGGACGGTTAAAAACTTTTATGGCCAGCTTTTTGTTGGAGGATCAGGTGCTAGTATAATGCCACATTAGAAAGAAGTGGAAAGAGTAACAACAACAACAAAGCCTTTAATAATTGTTTTAAAAAACGGTATGAGCACCTGCCTAGGAGGTCACTTAAGCCTAAGAAGCACTCAAGCCGCCTGAGCAAGTCTTGGGAGCACCTTAGCGAGCATGGGCCGCTTAGCCAGCCCGCAACGCTGTCAAAAAAGGATGTTTATGTTGTTGCATAAGCATAAAAATATGTAGAGAACATGGGTTAAAAGGGATTCAGTCAAACCTTAATATCATATTCATCTCAGATAGAATGTTGATGATAAGAATTTGAATCTTTGGAAAAAATCCTTCATTTCTTGGTTGTTTCTCCTCAACCCTTCTCTATGCCACTAGAGCTGTAATCGCGCATCTCCGACTACAGAAAAAACATTCACCTTACAAAAACAAAGTGTTAAAAAACACCTGCATGTACCTTAAGCGCTAGCCTGGGCACCGGGCACTAGGTCCGATACCCAAAGCTCCCATTACTTTCTAAAATATTATCTGTAACAAGAATCTTATCTTGCTCTCAGTTCTGTTTAGGACTATCTCCTTTGTTAAGTTAACCACTATGCTTCCAACCATGTTTTTAGGCCTGGCTCTAGTCATTGCTCCATTAACTATAATATTATTATTGCTCCTGATTGATGCATTTAGTGGTCTTTTTTGCGTGAAAATTCATCTCTCACAACTTTTCTCATTTCTAGTTAATTGGAACAACCTTTAACCTCCTACAACTATGCTTATTTTTGTTTAATCGTATTTCTCAATGTTATCCACCAGTACATTGTAACGTTTTAATTTCTACTACACTCATTTTTTGCTCATGTTGTGTCTTCATTTTTCAATGCTCTGATTAATATTGGTAATGAACTACAAACAATTCAAAACGGTTATCAATTTAAACAGAAGTTTGAGGCTAATGTCTAATAGTTTTTGTTTTTGGGTTAATTTGATTATTGATCTATGTTTAAGGCCCATCTAACTTCATTATAAGTCCAATTCTTAGTAAGTGGCACCGCAGAACTTTGTGGCCTAGGAGGAGCAAAATATGGTGTTAAGTCTGATAAGTATGGAGAAGATTAAGGTTTGATTGGCATAGAGACGGTTAGGTTTTTATGGTGCCTTAGTTGAGATATGTTAGTGGATGAAGGCAATGATTGTTGGAGTTTGCCCCAACACTTTTCACACTCTGTATCTCCTCGTACTATTTTCTGATTTTAAGCTT